CCCCAAAACCCCAAAACCCCAAAACCCCAAAACCCCAAAACCCCATTTTTTTTAAAAATGGTTGAAAGTTACAGGAAAGTATTCTCAAATGAGGAATTAGGGTCTAGAATAAATCTGGGCATTCACTCCAATCACCTTCTTGCTTCTTTTGCCAGTATTTGTCGTTTATTTTGAAGAATTTGTCTCCTGTTTCCTCTTCAATAACTTCTTCAAACCATAGAGGGGACCAAGTTTCACCATTATCTTTTCTATCTTTCCTTGCTGCTCTTTGTTTTTCTTCAAGACGATGCTTCTCTTCTGCTCCCTTGTCAATATCCCCTCTTTCGAATTCTCTAAGGTCAGTCCTGAATCTTGAATCAGTTGGAGCAATTTCTCCTTCAAGTTTAGGAGTAAGGTTATTTAAGTTGATACAGAATTTGGAAAATGAATGTTGATCTTCAAAGTTATCTGGTTTTTCATCAATCTCCCAAACAACAGTTTCTTCTTCTGTTTCAAGGTTAGTTATTGATATTCTCTCGGTCCAGAGTCCGTCAATCCTCAATAACTTGTTTCCTGCTGAGTCACTGACATATCCCTCCACTTGTCCCAATGTCCTGTTCCAAATGCCCTTTGACTTGAATTTCAGTTCTCCCTTGACTCCGGTCTGTGGACAGTGACACACTGAAGCGCCGCCTCAGTCCAAGTAAAGTGTTCCAAAGATCAGATTGTTGGCCACCGTCGAAGGCTTCTTGCACACGTAGTGCTCGTCGCCGAACACACAGTAGAAGTTGGATTCAGGAATGAACTCAAGGCTTTTACCCCAGAACTTGCTCTTCATCTGGCTGTTGTCCCAGAACTCGTAGCCTTTTCCATACGTGTGGCAGGCTGTGATTGGAGGGTGGTGACTGACTTGTTCAGCCAGAAACCTGAAATCTGGTCAAGAGTACTCGTAGGTTTCGCCTAAGATCGGATTGAACGGCTTCAGAGTCCTGAACTGGATTGACGAGTATTTTGCTGCATTGAACACAAGCACCAGTGCTGCTCTCATTGCTGAGTCGTCGGCTTCAGCAGCTCTCTCGAGGATCTGAGCGTTTTCCATCATTTCACAGAACTTCTGGAGCATGGTTCACGGCTCATTCAGAATGATGGGGAGTGTGACTCGAGTGAGGTCTTGGCCGATATTGTCTCTGATGAGGCCCCAGATGGAGAACTTTTTGGTGTGATCTTTGACACCTTCAAGCTGTTGTCTGACAGGCATAGTGTCTGTAAACTCTTTCGGGTTAAATTTTCTGTGAACCATTAAGCTCTCTTCTACCTTCTCTTCCTCCTTGATTTCATATTTTACTTCTTCTACTTTCTCTTCTTTGTATTGCTCTTTTGGATTAATTCTAACACTTCTCAATGACGCAACACTTTTTAAATCTTCTTCGTCGGAATTTTCAATATCAAATGGGTCATCATTTTCTGAAAATTTTACTATTGCTTTTGCAAACTCATTTCTAGCCCCTTCAAGGTCCTTAAGTATATCAGCAACTGACTCCTTCATCTCATTTGTCAGCTGTAATATCTTATCTTTATTCTCTCTCATAGTTGCTGTTCGTTCGAGCTCAGGCTCAATAATACTCATGACTTCTTCGAATTGCGCTTGAGTGCTCCAAACTTTGCCAATCTTTTGATAAAGTGGATCAAATTTATTAAAAATATTAGTAGCAAGTACCTCGTTTAGCTTCTCATTATTCTCTGAAATCATTTTAGTATCAGTATTCTCCTCATCTTCTTCCTTATTAAGCACTTCTCCTTTACTTTCATTCAGAGCATTGACCCAGTCAACATTCTCTTTAATATTTTTAGTCTTCAGAAAAACAATGCTGACTCCATTATCAATCTTAAACTGCAGAGACTTCTTCGGGACGACCTCAATCGTGCACACTGCCAAATGTATAGCCCCTAGCTCCTCATTAGTCTTTATATTATACTCATGTAAAATCCCCTCATGCAGTATGTACTTAAACTGTCTCCACCTTGTGAAAAATCCTCACCATCTCTGTAGATTTCCTTCCATTTTTAAATACTATAACCCAACTCAAAATCTAAAATAAGGGGTTTTGGGGTTTTGGGGTTTTGGGGTTTTGGGGTTTTGGGGTTTTGGGG